CGTAAGGAGACAGCAACATGGAGCCCCGCGTCTCCCCAAGACTGTCCCCTTTATACTGTCTCCTGGAGACTGTCTCCAGGAGACAGTATGAAGGGGACTGTCTCCTCCACTGCACTGTTCCGCGGAGACTGTCTCCTCCGCACTGTCTCCTCAGCACTGTCTCCTCGGCACTGTCTCCTGGAGACTGCCTCCTGGAGACTGTCTCCTCGACACTGTCTCTTGGAGACTGTCTCCTCAGCACTGTCTCCTCAGCACTGTCTCCTCTGTCTGACTGTCTCCTCAGCAGTGTCTCGCGGAGACAGTCTCCTGGAGACGTTCTCCTGGAGACAGTCTCCCTGTAGCTTTCCCCCCCCCGAGCTGTCTCCTGGAGACAGTCTCCTCGATACTGTCTCCTAACAACTGTCTCCTTGAGGCTGCCTGCTTACCAGCAGCTAGCTGCAGCTAGCTGCGCGTAAGCAGAGACCTCCCAAGAGCGACACAGAAGGGCCTCATTGAGGCTTGGAGGCAGATAAGGAGACAAGGAGACACCCAGGTAACCCTTTTACTAGGCGAGCTGCAAACTCGTGCTGCTGCTGCTGCTGCTGCTGCTGCTGCTGCTGCTGCTGCTGCTGCTGCTGCTATTGTTGCTGCTGCTGCTGCTAGTGAGGCAGGTGTTAATGTACTAAGTGGTGCTGTATAAGCATTAAGAGCAGAGGCTCATACAGAGACAAACGCCATATAAGTAAATATTTTTATATTTTATATACTGGAGACTCAGGGGAGCTGTCTCCTCTGGGATCGTCTCCTCCCAGCCCTCAACCATCGATCCCCAACAGCAGATACAAGGGTTTGTCCCCTCCCCTGCCTTGTTGTCTCTTTCTCTCTTCGTTGATACCTATGCAAGCACCTAGGGTTTAGGGTTTAGGGTTTAGCTAGGGTTTAGGGTTTAGGGTTTAGGGTTTAGGATTCTAAGGAGCGTGGGGCCCGCATGCATAGCCTGCCGAGGCCCCGCAGTCTCCTCAGTGCAGCAGACAGCAGCTGCACGGTGCAGCAGATGTTTGCTGCTGGCTGAGCAGCAGAAGTTTCTGCTGCTGCTGCAACCTGCAGCAACTCAAAAAACAACTTCTCCTGCAGCTCCTGAGGCGCTGGAGGGCCCACTGTCCACACACACCCCTGCAGCAGCAGCAGCAGCAGCAGCAGCAGCAGCAGCAGCAGCAGCAGCAGCAGCAGCAGCAGCAGCAGCACAGCAAACGCAGCAGCAAGAGCAATGGGAACAATCGAATGGGCCCCCATCTCTGTACCCCATCCTCCCTGAGTGCTGCTGCAGCAAAAAATAAAATCCTTAAGCGTACTCAAAACCCTAAACCCTAAACCCTAAACCCTAAACCCTAAACCCTAGCCTTGCCTCATCGTCTTCTTCATCAATGGGGCGTTGCATTGAAATACTGCTAAAGGCCGCCGCAGCCCTCGCAAAAACTCCTGCAAGCTCAGTCGCTCCGCGCGAGGGTTTAGGGTTTAGGGTTTAGGGTTTAGGGTTTAGGGTTTAGTTTATATAAAAGCAAAACCCTCTATCCCCTAAAACCCTAGACTTACTACGGGGCAGAATGTCTGCATGCACTGCGCTGAGGCTGGGAGGGTCTCCTTGTAATCCTGCAGCAGCACCGGCAGCACAAAACCCTAAACCCTAAACCCTAAACCCTAGACCCTAAACCCTAAACCCTAGACCCTAAACCCTAAACCCT